TCCCTCTATAGAGAACAAGGTCACCCCTTAGCCACCTTTTCTCCAAACTAGACAAGCCCAGAGCCCTCAGCTGCTCCTCACAGAACATTTCTTCCAGCCCTTTCACCAGCTTTGTTGCCCTCCTATGGACACATTCGAGGACCTTCACATCCTTCTCATATTGCGGGGCCCTGAACTGCACACAGTACTCAAGCTGAGGTCCCACTGATGCTGAACACAGGGGGATAATCACCTCCTTTGACAGGCTGGCTATACTGTGTTTGATGCACCCCAGGATGCAGTTTGCCCTCTGGGCTGCCCGGGCACACTGCTGACTCGTATGGAGCCTGTTGTTGACAAGCACCCCAGATCCCTTTCTGCCAGGCTGCTCTCCACTACTCCTCTCCCAGTTTTCATTTGTGCCTGGCGTTACTCTGTCCAAGGTACAGGATCTGGCATTTGGACAAATTTCATCCTGTTAATCATTGTCCAATGCTCCAATCTATCTAGATCCCTCTGTAAGGTTTCCTGTCCCTCAAGAGAGTCAACAGCACCTCCCAGTTTAGTATCATCAGTAAACTTGCTAATGTATTCAACTACTGCATCTAGATCATTAATAAATATATTGAACAGAACTGGCCCTAGAATTGAACCGTGAGGAGAACTGCTGGTGACTGGTCACCAGCCAGACGTAGCCCTGTTCACTTTGAGCTCTGTGCTTCAGCCAGTACTTCACTCAGTGCACCATGCACCTGCTCATCCCATAGTTGGACAATTTCTCCAGAATGATGATGATGTGAGGGACAATTGAAAATCTTACTAAAATCCAGAAAAATCTACATCCACCACCTTTCCTTAATCCACTAGGGGAGTGACTTTATCATAGAAGGATATCAAATTAGATAAACAGGACCTTCCTTTTTGAACCCATGTTGACTGTGCAGTTAGCTGCAGTGTAGTTAACTGCTGCGCCCTTTATAGTAGGTCTGTGTTTCTACTAATATAACTAAAAGAGTAGAACAAAAATATTTGATCAAAGCAATACTTTCTGTAGCTGAAATCTAATAATGATAAATGGTATTAAAGATAACAATAATAATGTTATCATCCCCATCTGAGGTTACATGCTAGTGTCATTGGCAAGCAGAGAGTTCAGAACTGTCACTGCTGACAAGGAGAAGCTGCCAGTTCCCAGTTGTGAAGAGGAGAGTCACTGAGGCACTTGGCATGCTTGCTGATGCCAGTGCTTGTCAGCAGAGCAGCTGGCAAGATTACACATCATTTTTCACCCTAAAGTTAATAAATCTGTGTGGATGTTGTGTGTGTGATTTAGTGTTGAGGGGGCCCAGGAGTTCATAATTTATGAGTTTGAGCAGAAGAGCTGCAAAATTAATCTTTACAATAGCAACACCTGTTCTTTGACTCAGCTTTTAATAAATTATATGTGGATAATATTTACCACATTCTTTGACTACTTTGAGATAATAGCAGCCAGGTGTAAAGCTAGTTTTTGGTAGTGGGAAAACTAACAATGCAGAAAGAGAAGCTATGTGAGTCACCTTGAGTTCTCTTAAATTAATTCCTTGTGGTTAGTGTTCTACAAGGAAAAGAACGAAATAATTTGGGGGTAACAGTTTCAAATGTAGTCAGATGTAAGAGTTAAAAGAAGCTACTTTCAAAGCAAATGATAGCTGAAGAGAATTGGGTCACTTTAGCATCTCAACATCTACCAACAAACATCATTTACAAAACAGATACAACAGCTCACAACTTGTCATGGAAATGAGATCTAGGTTCTCAGTTGTTAATTCCTAAATCCTTCAGGCTCTCTGACAGCATTTTAAAAATTTATCCTTATCAGCATGATCCAAAGGTAACTGGAAGTCAATCATTTTTAAAGCTTCATACCAATTACAACAAAACTTGACATTAAACAGGTACTCATATAAAAGAGTATAAATTATTACAGCTTAAAAGGTTCGTTATGTTACAGAAAGAAAGAAAAACATTTTAAGAAGTATTGTTGATTTTTTTAGCATACTGTCTCCTTCCTCTTGTCATGCTTAATTAAGTTTGTGACCATATGTCAGAGAGAAAGAATTATTTACTCTTGTAATATAAGTTTTGTCATTAAAAAAATAGGAACCAACACATACTTTTTTAAGAACTACTATAATTTGGTAGCTAAACCTCTTCTGCTTGCTAGATGTGTTCTCCTTTGATACTTTGTACACACTGAGCAAAGAGAAGTGAAAATAGCCAAGGCAATATGATCGAAAATCAAGGGTTTGTGGTTTTCTTTTGATTTTAGTGTCACTAAAAAGCCTGTAGACAGGGCCTCATGTGTCTTCCTCCTCAGCTGTCATTCTGAAGGCAGTTGCCCGTTATTACCTGTAGTAGTCTGCTTGTGTGCTGATTCTCTGCAGAGTTTTCAGAGGATGCATAGAGATCATTCTTGGAAAGAGGAAGGATCTGGAGAAAATATTTACCACTTACAAAATACTTCAGTTTGGTGGCAGCACTTTGAGCTGGCAAAAATAATTTTCTTCTCTATGGGGTACTGATGCGAGGAAACAGAAGACCTGCATCTGCAACCACCAGAGCATTTAGCCAGCTTTTATGAGAAAAAATTCAACCTTCCAGGAGGCTAGCAAGAGTCAGCTTGAATTTTCCCTTGAGAACAGCCCTACAAAGACTATTAGTTGAAAATTTCTAATGCACCACTAGCTTCCAAGAATCTTGAAAAGACAAAAAAAGTCTTTTGGTGTATTTTGACCTCCTATGTGTAGTTCTGGCATAGATTTACTGCCCTAAAGCCCAAGTCTGCTTTCTTTGGTGCCTAGCTCAAGAAGTAACCCACACAGCAGATTTCCCCAGGCCTCACAGCCTTGGTCATAGAGGATCCCCACCTGCTGTCAGTCCATTTGGCAGGTGATAGGTGAATAGCATAGACTTTTAGCAAATCTACTACTCAGCTAATCCATATTAAATATATATCTATGCGTATATATTATCCTTTGCCCTAATCTGCTTAAGGTGTGTTAGTTTCTGCAGTCAATGCACACTGAGTGATGTGGCTACTATCACTTCACTCCAACTTGCCAACAGGAGCACTAGATGCTCATTTCTGGCTACTCTGATCTGGGACAAGGCTTGAACGCTCACCTACTG